CTCAGGACAACAAACTTGATTAGAATTCTTTCTGTATAACCTCTGCCTTAAACATTCAATGGTGCTATACACTGGAAGCCATCACAGCTCAGGACGACTAACAAACTTGATTAGAATTCTTTCTGTATAACCTCTTCCATAAGCATTCAATGGTGCTTTATGCTCAATATTTGTGAAATCATTATCGGGTTGAAGCTATTGAACATAGAAGATGAGATAGAATGATAACATGATTATCCTTGTCTGTTGTATCCATTTGAGATACACAGTCGATATGAAAAATGTGTTTAAAGCCTCCTTGCTTCAGTGCAACTATTTATGAACATTCTACAAGTTGTATCATTAGATACATCTAGTTAACACATTTCCAATGTGACATTTCGGTCTCAGCTACTGTGTTCTATTTCTTGTCCCCGGCAATAAATTTGCAATTGAATGTATACAGCTATTTTAAAAAAAGGTTGGCCAAAGTTTTGTTGCATGTTTCACACTAAGCTTGAATTTATTGGGGATCGTAGTGTTAATAATTACAGCACAGAAGAAAATATGCCACAAAAACATGTGGAAGAGAGTTGGGAAATTCCATATTGTTGTGACCTTCACGTCGGCAATAGTGCATTTTTTAAATGCAATTTGCAACAAAACTCTTACCAAATAGCTGTATATGCTGTAAACAATACTGTTATGTAAAATTTAAAGACACTTCACTTATTTTCTGTTATGGGCAGTTTTTTTTTTTAATGCAAAATACCAAGTCAAGTTCGAAATTCAATGTGGATGGAAAGGAAGCTGCTTTGAATATCACCCTGCTAATAGGTTTAAATTTTTGTTGACAATTTAGGAACCAAATGACTCTTTTTTACAAATTTAAATGTGAACAAATCAGAGGATATAGTTGTTACTTGCAATTTTTGAGTGGAACAAGTTTAAGTCGTACAAAAATTAGTCTTATTACTTTAAATCATGTATGAGACTAATATACTTATATACATACATTGCACTGAGTTAATTTCAAAATAAAACTTAATAAATCCTTTAAAATTGAAGCTAGAATCTTCAGCYGCTAGACTTACGAGTAGTATTATTGACACGAGTCTTTCATAGTGCCTTATATCCCAGTATTCTCGATTAAATATAACCAAGTCAAATTAAAAAATAACATATTTGCACAAAGTAGACTCTATGGGTTTCTGTGTTGACAGAGTTGAACCCAACAAAAGTAGGAACAGGAATTTGTCACGCAGCAGGAAAAAATATACTTTTATGTATTGTAAAGTTATAAAATTAAATTATTTATGGGTAGTTATGAATAAATCATTTATGCAGGATGTACAGTTCAGATGTATTGACTAAAACAAATGAAATAAAAGTTGGTTTCTCAATCAAAAAAAGTAATTGCCTAATAAATTACTGTAATGGCTCAGTTGAGCGTCATGTACATGAAATGGTAATGTGTGAAAAAGTGCCTCCGATTAGCGCAAAAGTGCTAAAAGGACTTGACTTTTAAATTTAGAGATTTTTCAATACCCACAATCCTTATCAATTATCCTTTAATTTTGTACGAAATATTTTACAATCACCTAAAACTCAGGATTTTTTTATCAAAGTTTAACATACATATTTTTAGAGGTTGCCTAATACATTATTATTGCTATCGCCAAGCCTAATCAATGATAGATAATCACCATGCACAGTGGACCTGGAGGGTCCAGGGAGAGGTCCTTTCAGTCAGCTTAGGAAAAATTTACCAAACATAAGAAGTAATGAAAAATACAATACGTATTTGATAAAAGTATCTTTTATGGCAACAATTTTTTTCCAATTCATATATTATCATCATTATTTTAAAATATTTCTCAAACTCATTAATAATCCATAAGGTCAATGACCAATGGTGACTTTGCAATGTAGTCACGTGCACACACTTTGATACTTGATCAAAATTGGATCAAGACACTGATCAAAACACTAATGAATAAACATATAATTACAAAGGAATATTTTTAGTCTCACGAGATTGAAGAACAAATGAATTATATTGAGTTTGAGAAGTCAGTTCAAAAACTTGTGCTTCGTGTTTGATCAGGGCATCCAAAACAATAAAAGCACTCAGCCTAACAGCCTCATACATTCATCTGTTTCTTGGTGTTTGGATGCCTTGTACAACCACTCGCACTTGTTTGAATGGTCTATTATGTATTAATGATCAAAATACCACAGGTGCTATCTAGCTACTTTCATCAAATACAATTGATATTTGTCATCAATTCTTATAGAGAACTAAGGTATTTCCTATTAAAATAACATGGCAACAAAAAACATGTTGATAATATTAATTATGTACAAATCCTCAAGCATTTTTGGGTACTATTCAAATTGGGCATGCAATTAATTAATTAATCATATCCTTCAAGTCCTGCAATCTGATTGGTTCAAAGGAGTGAGATTAATTCCCAAATTGCATAGTTAGGAGCTTAATCGTTTCCTAAAAAAAATTTTTTAAACAATAAAATAAAACAAAATAAAACAAAAAAATCAAAAGTTTTTTTTAGATTTTTTTTGTTCGCATTTAGTTCTTCTACTACATTAAATTGATTATTCTGCACTCTTTATTATGTCTTTTTCTTGTGTATGATTACAAAAAGGTCGTGCGATTTTGTAATGRCGCGTTTGATTTCGGACCAAATTGCACTCCACTCAGTTCAATTACCATCATTAATCGCACAGTAATTAATTGCACAGATTAAGATCAACCAATCAGAAACAAGTATTTTTTACATGTATTATTCGTAGTACTTTCTTATTGTTGGGACCTCACTCCCTGGGGTTAATTACTACTTTCTGGAGCTGTWCATTTTCATAGTGGGCTTAAAGTTACTTTATTTCTATAAAAATGTTTAGAAATTGGTAACAAAAAAGCAGTTATTATATTTACAAATCTAAAAATAAATAACCTCCTTTTCCACGAAAAACAGAAATAATTATTATGAACATGCTAAAACCAAGCGATATTTGAGATATTAATTCACCAAATGACAATCAACAAAACCTTATTATAAAGTTATTGAAATCCAACAACTTGTCAAAAAAATTKCAAAAAAAAAAAATTGTTCTGTAGCTATTTTTAAAATTGATAATTTCTTTTCTTCAATTTTTTCTTCCTAAAATATTAAAAATCAATAGACATTCGCCAAATTCACTTGAGTGTCCCAAAACAATGGCCAAGTCAAGGCTGGACTTGATAAAATACAGTAAATATGTGAACACATCAAGTGTAACCTTGACTTGCAAACATTGTTTAGTGGTCACTCAAACGAATTCAGGAAAATGCCTATTGATCAACCACTTTTAGTTATTATTTGTTAAGAGATCATTTGATGTTCTTATGTCATTTCAATATGTAACGAGGGACACTATACTTGAGTTACAAGAGCCTTGGTTTACAKATCTCCAATTTTATAAGTTTCAGGAATTGAGCCACAGTGTTTTCTCAATAGGCCCTTTGCAGCTCAGTAATTACGTGCTGATTAATTCACTGAGAGCAAATGAATGAACACCTTGATTCCCATGGGTGAAATATAATGGTGAGGAAATAAAATTTCTACAACCTGTTTTGAGAGATCGTAATAAAACTGCATTTCGTAACACACTGGWTACACATTGTTTCATTCAGTTCTTTACAAGTAGCTAAAAAGAATCACCAATTTAATATGAAATAAAAAATTTTGCTCACCAGAACAGACAAGTGACTGATAACTGCAAAGGACCTGTAACTTTGCTACTTCACTTTTTTAGCCTGAGCATAATTTCAAATGATGGGATCCCTTGCAAAGCATTTCATTAATTGAATTGCAGAGCTTTCTATAATATTTGTAGTAGGCCGTTAGTACTAAAAAATAAGGGGACTGAATCCACTGGTGTTTGTAAATAACTTTATTTGGCAATAAATTATTTTTTTGTCGAAATAGCCTGCAGTTTAAGGTGAAGTATCCGGCGATAAACCGCCGGTAGCCGCCTTTTATTGAAAGCTCTGAATTGATGTATATTATATTTGGAAACTTTTTTTTTCTAATATTTATTTTTTTGAACAAGTTTAAGATGATAAATCATTAATTTAATCAGAAAAAGGAAATTTTTTCCTAATAAAGAATCATTATTCCTCAAAGAGTCTGTAATCAAAAAATATACAACATATGCCCAGCCTGAGAAGTTATGATAGCATGACAGTTATGTGCGCCTCTTAGCATAAGTGATGATCATGCTGATGAGAAGTTAACTTTATACYTAATTATTTTATTTATTCTAAAGTTTACTTTTTTTTTGGTATTTGGTGTGGAGATTTTGCTGAAAATCATTTCTTAAGAGCTACTGCATTGAATCAAAATTGTACAAAATATAAATAAGATTACACAAATTACTTAAAGGTGTGTATAGAATGTTATGAATCCATTAGATTCTGCTGTGTTCCTTGACCATAGTTATATTAACGCAGGGTTAGCCATGATTTCGCATAGAATATTTATTATTTGTTATATGGCGCATTGAAGTGGAGTGTAATAATATTGTCAATTTAAATAATTCATCCACAAACCCTAGATCTGTCACGGCTATAGTCACCATCAGTGAATGGTTAATATTGGACATATACAGACTAATGATAATCCAATACAGCTATATACCTAAGTGAAGAAACACTAACTGAATGAAGTCTGAATCTCTTCCTGGTCACTTTGCTTAGTGCTCTAATGTCTATTACTTAGTCAATTTTCGTCATTACGTATATCACTGCATATCTATGTAGTATCCACACACCTTATATCTCTTCCTGGTCACTTTGCTTAGTGCTCTAATTTCTATTATTTAATCAAGTTTCGTGGTTACGTATATCACTGCATATCTATCTAGTATCCACACACCTCATATCTCTTCCTGGTCACTTTGTTTAGTGTTCTTTTCAGAAGATACTACACYAATCAGTACAGTTATATCATCTGGTTTACCACCACTTATCTGTAATCCTTGAAACTTGGCTTGCTTTGCAAATGGTGACTCATAACTTGGATCAAATGCAAGACACTGAGCTTTCATAGCAAGAGAATCTGCTAATGTCTGGATGCTTCGTTCTTCAAAGTTCTACAAGAAACAATTGCATGAAAGTAACATTACCTAACAAATAAAAATGAGATTTTTTTGTTGTTTTGTCCTCTGAATTGAGCTGACATTTTAGGGGCGTCGCCAGGATTTTGCCTTTTGGGGCAAAATCCCATTTTCAGAACATCAGTAAATAGTACRTTTCTACAGCATGAAGGTGGTGGGGGCAAGCTCCCTTGCCTCCCTGGTTACGCCCCTGGATTTGGGATATGGTCCTAAAAAGGAGCTGAGAAAGCTTAGGAAATTGTTTAGATAGGTTAAACCCCACTAAGTTAGCTTAATTGGTTATAGCATTGTCTGTCAGGCAGGAGGTCTTAGGTCTTAAAATAACTGAGGGGAAGGTGCTGCCTTTGTAATGGCTAGACCATCTGCTAATGGGTAGACCTTCACATGGCTGGGATGACCATGTTAATGGACCTCTATCATGTGGTGGCCATGCTTTCTCATAGTGGGATCTATTGTTCAAACCAACATGGCTGCCGCTGTCTCTGATTGGTTAATTTACAATAAACTTGAATTATTTAGGTGGCCAAATGGTAGCACATGCTGCTGCACTGAAACTACTGTCATAAAGACTTTATTTGATGGCTCTTACCTCAAGTTCAGATACTTCCTGAAGGATCTGTTCTTTTGTTAAATTGTCAAATAATCCATCTGTACCCATTATGATGAGGTCATCCACTTCAACATTAAATGATGTGCTCTCTGCTACATCCAAACTAAGATGAAATTACAACATAATAAATAGCCATCTTGTAAATACGAATTACTTATTTTGTACATGTAGACACATAGAGTCAGAGATAACTGAATTAAGAATATCAATATAAAACTGTTTCATAGCAGATTTCTTTTTCCTTTTCTTTCAAACATGATGAATTTTCCTGAAACATTTTATGAGCTGGGCATGGTCAACTCTTTAGTGTGGTCAAGGTTAATTTCAAAGAGTAAGGAAAACAGAAGAAGCCAAAGAAAACTTTTGAATAACAGCAAGCAACCACAGGGAACCCAATCAGACAAAGGATATTGAGACCTACATACTTTACTGGGCTTCCTGTGGCAAAGTGTATGACTAGATGAAAGAGGGATCTTAGCGTAAATGATTATGTATTACAACATAAATGGTTCATTACCTGTCTTGAATGACTCTGCCGTCCTGTCCAGGGGGAGGTATGGCTAATTGGAATGGAGTATTGAAGTAATGTTGTTGGTCTGAAGATTGGTGAACTACATTCCCTTTTCTTATAACCAGGAAACCAGAGTCTCCTAAATTCATTGAGTGTAAAGTCTTGCTTGCCTTGTCAAGGACAACAATACAAGCTGTACTGCTTCCTGTTGGTTGAAAAGGGAAAAAATAACATCCTCATCATCATCATTGGTATCATAACATAATGGTTGTCACAATCTCATGATTTCTATCCCTAAATGTATATTATTTCTAGTGTTTTTATTTTGTTGAATGAAACAGATAATATAATGGTTGATAGTAAAGAGAAAAAACTCCAATGAAAATAATCAAACTTAAAATATGTAGATGATTTCATGGAGAAATGATCCATCCACCCATCATGGAGAACTTTTTTAAAGACYCCCTACCCCAGAAAATCCATTTTTTTTCCATACAAACTGACCCTCCTCCCCCTACCCCTCTGAAATTTCAAGTTCCTCTGGTAGAGGGGGGGGGGGTATGGATAATTTCTGGAACTACACAATATGGAAATAGGCAAAAAAGTGAGAAGCAAAGCATGAATAACACAGCAGCCATAATGTAGGGCAAGGAATAATGCACTGTTTTGCATAATATGACATTTATTTCCCAAATAAAAATGTCTATCAACTTGCTCTAAAATATTGACCAAGATACATACAGTACACATGTAGAAACAAAATAGACTTACCAAAAACTGCATCCTTTAGTTCGGTCAATTCCTGGAAGGCATTTTTAACAATATCTATTGGTGACTGTGTATGCAAACCACCATCCAAGACAAATCTTTTGCATCCTTCCATCAGAGAACTTGCAAATCTAGAAGAATCAATGCCGTACTGGCGCCAACCACCTACTCCATCTGCAACACCTAAATCAAGATAAAGGAAAAAGAATTATTCCAACAGCTTTATCTATATATGTAGAAGAAGAAGAATAACTTTATTTAAACACGGTCGACCCATCAGGATTTTATGATAAAATAGTAATAAAAATTTTAATTATTTAATTTTTAATTTTTAATGAAAGCTAATAATAAAAACAAAAAATCTAACAAATGAACATGCTTTTCAAGAGTGCCGGAATAATGTTTGAGGTTCAAAAATGCCCTACTTAAAAATCACTTACAGCCAGCATGAAAACTATGAAGGGTCTGTGGTTGCTGTAACTCAATCGGCAGGATATTCCAAAGAACTGCTCCATTATAGCTAAAGCTATTTTAACGAAAATTAGCACAAGGCAATGGAATAGTTAGTTTACTCCCAGTGTCCATAGCCATCAATCTCATTAATATTGTTGTATGACACAGAACAAGAACCACAGGGCAGAGGTTTGAGTGGGGATACAACTACAACTATTGGAGGACAAAAAGTATGTAGAAGTGGTCTACAGCAGCTACGCGAGTGATATCAAAAATGGCTTGACTGGAAATTAAATCTTTATTTGAGCTTTAATTCCAGTAAAAACCTACAAATTAGGGCAAAAATAAATCCTTGTAAAGCTTAACAATTAATTACATTGAGTCTAATTCATAGAAACATGAATAAATCCAAAATAAGTAAAAACTTTCCGAAATTGACAACTAGCGGCATTGATGAAAAATAATTTCCAATGTGCTTTCAGGACATGATACTGTTTCCATGACACACTCCCACGGGACCTATAAATAAAAACTAATTAAGCCTATTTTTTGATGTCAACTACTTGTTGAGGCATAAAAATTGGCCTCAACAAAGTAGTTGTCTCCTAATAATTACATATGCAGCTGTCCTTAGGGTCATCATGCAGAAACACCTCTCTCCACAYGAACCTCTGCTTATTTGAGAAGAGCATTCCATACAAAAGTCAAATAATACACTAGTTGCACATTTTATTTATACCACTGCCATTGATAACCACATTTATAGCCTCGTTTATAAGCCATTCACAGCTACCATTAAAGGATGGGATTTCAAAACATTGGTATCGTTCAAGCTGTACATTCTTTACATTACAGTTGACTTTTGCAAATGATTTTCTCTTAAACGAGACTAAGCCTGTGCAAATGAATGTTCTGTCTTAAAACACAGCAGTATTTACTGAATGAGAAAAGGGGTCATTGTAAGAAGAAGTAAGGCTCAAAATGGGCTATTGCATAAACCTTTTGTACCCCCCTCCCCTCCCTGTTAGGGACCTAAGTTTGTAAGAACCCCCTAAGAAATTCCTGAAGACATTAAGATCCCTGTGGAATTCCCTGCTGTTCTTTACTTATCCCTGAAGAATACATGTGGAATTRGGGTCCTTAACCCAGCACAGCACACAAAAAAACGATCCTGACCCCGAAAGAATTCCAGCTCAAAAACACCCCCAGCTGTTAAAGAATTCCAGCACAAAAACACCCCCGAACCCTGAAGAATTTCACTGTCCTCAGCGGRTAGGGATACGAAAAATTAATGAATTAATGCAATAGCAAAATGCTAAAACTACAGATATATAATGCTTTGTGTGTGACCGGTTAACCGGTATAAGTAAGATAATGAGTGCTTATATCAATATGAAATTATTAATGTAGGTAGATTTATTGGAAGTTATTCTTAGTGCTGCTACACCTTAGACAAATATTTAAGGCAGATGCTTTAAGATGGAACCGGCTAGACGTGTGTACTAAACGTGGAATAATGTAGAAGATTAAAATACAAGAAAGACTTATGACATCAAACAGTTCACAAGGTCGAGTTTTTTTCGTCAAATGACAATAAAACTAGTATTATTGAGGTAGATAACTGGAATAACATTAAGCTTTTCACAGAAAGAGGTAAATCTTATAAAATGGTCATTAGAAATCCTAATACGCAGTTAAAATCCTTACATTTAAGCTTTGAAGAAGTCTTTGTACGACTAAACTCGATTACATCATAAAACTAAATACATTATTTTTCCCTTAAATCCCTTGTGAAGGGCAACCACTTACCCATAACGTTATTTCCTTGATTCTCGGCGATAAAATAAGCATCGTCTCCAAAAACAAATCTCCTTCTTGGAGAGTTAATCTCCTTGGAAAARCCACAACAAACAGAAATAAGATGAACTCGAGCAACGGCTGCTTCTCGTCCGAGAAGATGACTGACTGCCTGTCGAGCTTGGCTGCAGAATAACCGTCCGTAAACTACGCATGTTTGCATAGCCATTGTCACAAGGTAGTAGAGATTGTAGCTACATGGGATTTAGAGGTTGGAAGTGGTGTTAAAGTGGTGATTTTTAGCCGTGATTTTGGAGTTACATTTTATAAAAACACCGTGAACTTAACATGAACATGAATAATAATGTTTCGGTTTCCCATGATGCAATGGTCCTACCAGGCCTTCTGGCAGACAACACACAGGAAGCCCAATATGGTGGTCAAACACTGACCAGCTCGTGCTGTCAGGGAAAGAATTCTATAGAGCGTTTTCACTCACGTGACAAGGCAGCCTGGTGTACCAAACAATAAAAACTTTTTGCACAAGTTTTGCATAAGAATATAGTTCAATAGACCTCCTCGGCTCTGGAATGCTTGAGTGTAATGTTGTCCCATTTCAGACCAAGTGTAATTCCCTTGAGAATGATATTCTTTGAGTTGTATCCAATGATGTTCATGTGTCTTCTCATGTGCAACCAAGCACAAACCTTAAACAAAGAAATAATACTTTAGGGAATGACTCCATGGTCTGACATGGGACAACATTATGTCAGAGCCAAGGAGGTCTATTTTTGGAGGACAGAACATTGGTTTGGTACACCAACATGACCGCTTTGACGTCACATGAAAAGGCTCTATTGAAAACTAGGGATTCAGCTGATCATTCTACAYTATGTCAGGTGAAACCAAGCAATATCAGCTGATAGAACTCTTTGAATCTCAATATTTGCTCCAAATGGCGGTCTCATGTTGATGAGCATTTTGCACAAAACAGGGAATGACGTCAAGTTAAACCCATCTGAATTGCTACTTAGAAACAGAAGTCAAAATTTTCATTAGGAAATGTCATAGTCTGGAAGGAATATTTTTATATTTTCTTTACTGAGTTGTCCCATAGTTCTAAAAGGTTTAAAAGGAAATTGAAGGCATTTGGAAAATCAGTTTTAAAAATGTATACTAGATAAAATCATTTCATTCATTTTCAGAATATTTYGTGACCCATGCACCAAAATGTTACATATGTATTTTGTAAGCTTATTTAATGTTTWTTGGATCAAAATATTTCAACATGCCTGTTATCCAAGTATTTAGTGATAGTTTGTCACAGGTTTAGTGTGTGCACTCTAACAGTCTGAATATTATAATTACAAAAACAAGTATATGTATTTACAGTGCAACTACTGTGACTGGGGCCACCTAGGCAACAAGCCAATTAAAATGTAGAATGAAAGCAATACATA